TGTTACTACCAATCTTCAAATTATAATATCAGAGTCTATGAATGAAGAAGTGAATGATGAATTAGCATCAATTGCCAAGGTATGCATGTGATAATTATACTTTTTGAAATATTTCTTGACAATTTATGATTTGTATGATATTATGTCTACCAGAGCCAAAGATAGTCGTCTAGTAGAATGGTTTACACTACTATGCCATATACTCTGATTTTCTTGCTAAATGCAATACTTTTGAAGTGACGACGAAACTTAAGTAATATGTATTTCTTGAGAAACACGTGATTGTGAATCAATCAGTCATAAGTAACAAAGAAATTGATGCATATGTGTATCGGTTCAAATTGTACACAATGTCAACACAGCGAGATAAAATCATTAAGACGGTTTATCAGAATAGTAAAAAGGAGTAACATCACCTTTGGTAATAGAAAATATGGGAACATAAACAATATAATTCAAAGAGAAGAATGAATAACTCCACGTGATTAAATGTATAAAATATTTTGGAAACTCATGACCTAAGGGAAAACAACGAATGCGTCTATACTGTTGTGATCTATTCTGTCATGTTACCTAATGTCTCCAATCAGTGGTTACAATAATCGCGCTAAACCCACCCAAGGAATCTGCGTTTATTAATATCGTTTAGTCCAATAGTCAATGAATTCATAGACCGTCTTATGTCATGTTTTGGTTAAGCCGTCATTAGTTTCCCAACCTATTCCTTATCTGGTCAATATCCCACGTCGAAGTTGTTGAACTTACGTGCTGCATGTTCCGACCACTACAGTTGATAAATATCAACTACTTGATCAAGTAACTTGCTATCCTGATCCAATTCTATGTATTTAACCTGAGGATTGCTAGTAATACTTTGACGGTATCTATAATCAAATACTAGTAATATACAAGCATCCTTTATAAAATATGTAATATAGGGTATGTATCAACCTACTTTATTGTGTTCTTTTTGCTTGAATAAGATGCAAGGAATCTGAAAATTGTTGGAACGTATATAATATAACTTGACTAGTTTACTAACTGATGTATAATGATAAAAAAATCCAGATCAAGGATATAGGAATGATAAAATTTCCACGTTATTAATAACCCCAGGTAACCTGATGCACCGGTCAGACTAATTTCTATTTAAAATTCCCCTCAGTATACATTTTGTTTGCAATCGTAAGGACTCTCATTCAAAAACTGTAATTATTGTGCAGAGCATTCAGTATCCAGTAAATTCACGTCGTCAGTGAATATTATTAGGGGTGACGTCGAAACCCACATCCGATTTCTGAAGCCAAAGAACCCCAAGTGCTGACTGGTAAATCTGATTTTAAAGAAAATTCTCTACAATCATTTCAAAAATTAAGAATACACAAGACATGTATTTATCTTCAGCTTTTTAATTCCCAAACTGAATACATGCCCCTTGATTAGCAAACCCAGTCTTGTGATATGAATCGGTGCAAGTCAACAATCATACACAACTTTCGAGAACATCTGTTAAGGCCTCATTGTTTGACTGTTAAGTACATACCACTTGGTACAGACGAAAGCTCAATTTCGAACTACTAACTTTTATTATTGAATGTTTTCAAAGCACTAAGGTCATTGCTATAATTCTGTAAAAAAACTCATCCAGTTTAACAGGAAGATGAATAAATCTGTATATCAGTAGGTAACTGGTCTGAACTCGATTTCTGATCAACTTCACATGCATTCGGAAGACACATGGTAATATAAGTATATATATTCATTTACCATCTACTGAGTATGAGACACATTATAGGTGTGATGGGTAATGGTAGTATTCCCCGCTCCCGTCGCACTAACCCAGGTTCAAATCCTGGCAGTGATATCGTATTTGTTAGCCACCAAACGCTCTGGTACGGCGGAGGGTAGGGGAGTCCACTTTCCCTCTCGCAGTGCTCTCACATGGCCACGAGGATACAACCACTAGCACACAAGTCCTACTCACTGCCTTTTCGCGGTATTATTGCTGTTAGCGAAATTGAGAAAACGGGAAGCGAATGTCCGGTGCTTTAACCGGCCTGGTGAAGACGAAATGCCCACCTAAAGGAGTTGGAAAACCCTGATTCCAAACTAATGGTGCACATGGGTTCCAGTCACCTGAAGGAACAAATAGCGTACGAACCAATCGTTGGTCACCGTCTATCATAGGACTGCATCTCCTGACGTTGCTCCACTGTCTTGTGGTCGAAGGCTCCGGGTGTGACCCCTAAAAAAACCACCTGCTTCGGTCTGGGCACCTAGGCAGTATCCCAGCTCTCATACAAATCGAATGATTTGTGTGTCGCATATCTGTTTGGTGCCTCCTTGTACTAATGTTTAAGTGTTTAAATAAATAAATAATAATAATACAGTGAAGTAGGTAAAGCGGGATTTTACAGTGAGAACCATAAATATCTATTCCTTTAATTCTATATTACTTGTATCCATTGTATTTCCATATTCTTTTATGTATTCATCACTCTATAGAAACACAGACAAGAATTGTTAATTGCATATGAGAAAGCAATGCAACCGATAATTTCAATTGATCTGTTACCAGAATATGAAATCAAACTTTTATCACTATTCCAATAAAACTATTTTACTACATGTTTTTATATATTTTTCTTAGTAATTCGTATAGAACATACTAATTGTAATCATAAAGTGTTTATTATTAAGTTTATACATAGTTGATTTGAATAAATAGCCTTTTTTTAAAAAAATAGATAAATTTAAAGCTTCATACTTTGAGCCACGGTAATAAGCGTTGATGAATTCAGATAGCTAATGGGCATTCTGCCTTAACAACATTATAATATAATGTCTTCAGACATTAATTTTCACTGTGTAGAAAACTTGGTGTTTACAGATAATTGTTAGCGTTACGTTCGATGATTGTTTACTTCGATAAGCAACGTTAGCTGGTGTAGAAGTAAGCTTTAAAGAAAACTAGACCAGGCTAAATCAAAACATATTATCGGCCTATATGGTCGCTGGTCTAAGCCAAGTTGGTAAATGCAGATTGTTTGATCGAGGTTTGCGCAATTATCGTGTCTTGGTTAACAACGTTGAGTGATTTGGCTTAGAATCAATCACGGTAGTGCAGGTGCATTTATTCTGCTTGTTTCTAGATTTTAACTGTCAGTATTCTGCAATACACAGCTTTCAGTCCTGTCTAATCGAATCATACTTCCAAACCATAGTCTTTCTCACTATCATGCGGAATACCAACTTTGGTCAACACATGTTTGTGCCAGGTGCTACATTGATTATTATTAAATGACCGACTGAACTGATTCTGCCAGGAGTCCCATGAACTCAGCTCCCTTTTTAGTATATCGAGAAGTGTTGTCCTCTTAGATAATGTTCAGTGCTACAGTTGGACACACTATCACTAGATTGTTAAATTAACAATCCTAATGACCTCTGTTGACTGAATCTGACAGCATATCGTGTCACATTACCGGGTGGCTTAGTTTATATTGGTAGAATTTACTTACTTGGTTTGGTCAATTGTCTTAGTGTAGCCGAAAAATAACGTTATGAAATAGTAGTGGGAACGCATTTGGCTTGTTTTTTATGAGACGGAATGGTGATTTAATGTGGACTTCAATCGATACACTAATCATACAACCACATGTTCTGACTTATACACCCCTCGATATGAAAGCTGTTTTTATACTTAGATCCAAATAATGGTTCGAATGCATGGATGGTTAATTATTCAAAGGATTTTTTCCTTTTTCATACTTATGTTGTGGTCAACTCAGCCACTATCAAGATCAATATTGCAACATGGGACTATTGCCAAAATCAGAATAATGATGTTCACAGCCCATGTACATTTACAGGTTGATCATCATCTGCACGGGTATCTCTTTGCGGAAAAAAGTCCGGCTGGCCTAAGATATCAACTTAATGAAAGTTTTTCAAGATGGTAGTAAGTTCGGACAGTTGTCTATTTAGACAGTTTACGATATAACATAAAATTTTAGAGGATATCAAACTGCTATTGTCATCATCTTAGGTTAGAGATCATTACTACTGTCTCATAATTCGTAATTCTCAAGGTAGGAATTATAGATCGGAATAGTTACTTTGGTCCACTTAAATTATTTTCACATCTCGTCCCAATGGTGAATTCCTATCGATTTGCCTCACAGACACTCGATATCTTTTTAGGATATGCTTACCCAAAGAGGGAGTCTAAATTTTATCCTAAGAGAATCAAGACTTAAACAAACTGATAACTGTGTAGAGAAACCAATACAACATCGCCTGATCTTTCGTGCTGACCAAAATCCTGGTGATCGTATTGTAACTAGCCCACGAGACTTGAGTTTTTGTTGTTTGACAGCTAAGCTAGTTTGTTTGAAAAGCGTGACTCAGCCCCCAAATGCCCTGGTACGGCTGAGGGTAGGGGAGTTCACTCCCCCCCTCGAAATGCTCTTACATGACCACGTGCAAACAACCACTGTCACACAAGTCCTACTCACTGTCTTCTCGCGGCATCACTTGTTTACGAAATCGAGAGGACGGAAAGCGAATGTCCAGCACTTAGACCGGGTTGGTAGATATGAAGGTACTACATAGAGGAGTTGGAAAACCCTGATTCTAAATCAGTGGTACACATGGGCTCCACGATCCGGAAGGAACAACAGCGTATGAACCAATCGTTGGTGACTGGCTACCATGATACTTCATCTCCTTACGTTTCTCCACTGCCTTGTGGATTAGACTTCTAGGCCAAAGATCGTGGTGTGGCCTTCTAAGAAAACCACCTGCCTCAGTCTGAGCACTTGGGCGGTGTATTAGCCCTCTCACAAATCGAATGATTTATGTGGCGCATATCTATTTGGTGCCCTCTTGTACCAATGTTTAAATAAGTAAACAATAATAGAGGAACTTTATTAATCAAAAAATAACACGAACAATAATTAAATCTAACTTCTTTTTACATTTTGCATTCTTGTTAAGTACTATGAGGTTTGCAACTTGGACAACGCAATTCTTGACTTTCGTTTTGATTCCAATTCAACAATATGTAACCAATGTTCAAGAGTGGGAGATTGCAATCCATAAGTTAGACAATGAAATCTAAATAATTTTAAAAATCATTTGGATATATTAAATTTAGGAATTGATATCTATGAGTAAAACGTTTTTATGACCACATATATAGGGTAAGGAGTTTGTAAGCTTTCAGTATAGCATAGTTGAAGAAAAAGAGCCATTTAAACTGTGGAGGACATTACGTATCATATGATAAACAAGTCTAGTTCAGATTACAATTGTTGAGGATAGTCAAACATGTTTAGATTGTTGCGTAAGACAATCAGGAAACTTTTTCCAGAGTCGTCATCAAATCAAACTATATTATCTGTGTATTCTAAGTCAATAAGTGGATCTTGAAAGAAGTCAGCTCGCAAAAAGTTAGATAGTAAGAATGTTATCTGTAATAAGATGCCTAAGAAAAAGTTAAATAAAAGTGGACAGCCCATACAAACATCAACCTGAGGTTGACAATTCCGATGATAGGGACTTTATTGGGATGAGTAGGTTTACAGTACTATACAGCATAAGAGAGAAAATCAAATGTCAACCTTTGCTTGCTAACAATATGAACTCATCGTTTACAAGCAAAACAAATCATGATAAACGGGGTGATTTTTGAATATGTCATACCTGAGTAAACACAACATGACTGCAAATTCATCGGCTTCTATATATGTTGACTTATCCCTGCGCCATTGAACAAAATCTTGATTGATTCGCTGTAAATATGTAAAAAATTAACGAAATTACATCAGATGAAAGATAAAAATGTCCTTATTGTATGGTTGATATATATAAGTGGAAATCGTAACCCTCAAGGATTATGCAATGCGGTAGTTCGATGACTTGTTTATAACGTAATATAGTTACAAGTATTTGATCTGGCATAAAAGTATGGGTTGCACTGTTTAGAATCGGTAAGAGTAGAATGATTAGATTAGGCAAATGAAATAAACCACAGGAAGACGCCGGTAAAAATGCTTTATCAGTATAGGGTTATAGAGATTGTTAAGTTTTTGATTGAGATTATGAATCGATTGATGTTAGATCACTGGACACGGCCATTTCGTCCTGTTGTGGGACTGCTCAGAGGTGCGTATCCACGATCCCGCTTGCGGGATCCAGTGCTTCTAGGTTTCCAATGGTGGTTTAACACCAATTGGTTCATGATCTCAATTAAAACGCTTTAGCTGTTTTAAAAGTTAACTTTTCTCTAATTTAGCTTTATTTATAACCATATGGAGATTTCTTTTTTGGAATCAAGACTTACTTTGCGACCACTGTTATATTACTTTTATCGGCCTTTATAATTACAACTGTTTTTTCTACTTTAATGAGTTTATACCTCTCAATTTTTCTCCTGAAACAATAGGTAAAAGAGGTTTCTTTTTCATCAAAATGTGAGATGTTTCTTTACATATAGGATGATGTTCTACTTGTGACAATTGATGAGTCAGTTAGTGAGCAACAACGTAGAACTTCGTACGTACGTACATCAGTCCAACTTGCCATACCACATTAGCACAGATATACAACTGCCAATTCGAATCCCATAGTGGTAGAGGTAGTAAAAGTATACACAGTAATCGGAAACATTAGGGTTTGAAGACATTATTCAAGGAGTATAATCTAGTGAAATAAATTGGGAAGGGAAAAAAATAAAGGGACATGAAGAGTTCAGAAGAATAGAATTTGGGAGAACACAAATAGTGGATGCATCTGTGCCATTGCAAACGATTTTGAGCCATGTCATTCAACGTCTCTAACCATCGGTTGTTATCGTCTCGTGCAATTGATGAACAAAATCACGTTTTTGTGGATTACCAAATATCCATAAACCTGACATCCTATTAAGACCTATGGCGAATTGCACAAACACTCCACTATATGCTTTACCTTAATAATTGAGCAGTATACTGAAGTCACTTCAAAATAATCTACATTACATCGCTTACTTTTGCTAGTGCCATCACGGCGTGTATTTGGTTCGAATGTTCACATGACTCATTTGTCATTATTAAAAAGATTCATCTTAGAAACTTTTCTAAATTGATAAATACTTTCTCAGCCCACATTAAATTTCGAAATAAAACTGAACACAGTGAACAATTATGGTTAGACTGTTTAGTGAAAAGGAATTCAAGTAGCCTAAATCTAACCATCCACCCTAAGCCGATACATTCATTTCAACCAACTCAACACATCCAATAGGTGAAAAACTTCTATGGTTCTAAATTTATTCACATGAGCCTCAAAGATCACTGAGTCAGATGAACATGAATGAAATATCTTGAGTTGATTGCTATCTCCATTACCTCGAAACAGGACAGAGTCTACAGATTACAAAGTGCACATTGTGATGCATTCTATATTTCAGTCATGACACATGTCAAAGAACATCTGAGCTACATAAAAGACTTTTACAATTATAAAGAAAGGTAAGTGGTTGAAAGTTGTTAGATACTGCTACACTGTACTGTGCTCAATAGAAAGGAGGGACAAACCGTCCATCCAAGTATCCAAACATTTAATTCTGTCCACATCTCAAACCACTAACAAACAAACAAAAATTTTGAACTCTACACTTTCAAATTAGAAATTTCACATTTCCCACTTCCACTAACAACACACACACACAAGTAGTTCCTACACAATCACTGTCCGAAATGACATGACATTAGCATAATCAAGCGTATTTTAACTTCTATTGAAAACTAAAAATATTCTGTTTTGTTTCCTTTGTACTATTTGAGATGGTGTTCACTTAATTTGATTGTTTATTCTCTGAAGAAGCAACTTAATTTACACCAGCTTTCAAAACGTCAGGAATACAATTTTCTATTCATTGGCCTTTTACAAATAGATTGTTATTTTTTTAAATCTCGACTATCTGCTGAGTGGTCAATTTATCTGAAATTTCATTGATATGAAAAACCGATTTTCGTAAGACAACGATAAGAAACTTATAAACACTAGACATCCATTTCGTCCTGATATGGGAGTCCTCAGAATCGTATATTCACGAACTGGAATCGAACCAAGAACCTTCGGTGGTCAACTGAAGACAATGGAGGATGGTCTCGTAGTATTGTGGATTGACTAAAGTTAGACCTCTATACTGTCGCATATCAGGATGGTAGTTTGTAGATTAGGCGTTCGCGCGCAAGACCGAAAGTCTTTAGTTCGACACTCGCAGTCACACGGTCGTGCATGTTTAATGTCGAGAAGCCCCATATTAGGACGAAACGACCGTCCAATAGTTGTCAAACTTAGATCACTTTGTAGTTCAACAAATTTCACAACCCTATACTGATAATTATTTGGAATTATTAAGTCAAACCTATTTAATGAGATTTACCTTCTCACGGTAAGTGCATCAACATATTATGAATTATACAATAATTCCGACATTCCATGTACCGAAATAAAATGTTGATCTGGTTGTCAGAAGGGGCATCAACCTCGTGGACTTCTGAAGGAACTCGCCTTTAACCATGAGGCGTCTTAACTCTTCTAAATGAAGACCTCCTGACTCCCAGGGCAGAGTATGAATAATTTTTTTATGGTTAGTGTCTTCTTAGCGAGTTAGTTTTCTACGAGATGGGGTTACTAACTCCATGCCCAACCCTCCTCTTTTATTCGGGCTTGGGATCGGCAGTAGCCCTAAAAGGGCTCCAGACGAAGTTATCATGACCACTACCCAAGATATTTAATCAGCCTATAAATGTTAACTGTTCATCGGATTACTACCTGTATTTATTTATTTATTTAAACGCTGAAACATTGGTACGAGGAGGCACCAAATAGATACGCACCACATAAATCGTTCGATTTGTGTAAGTGCTGTGACACTGCTGCGCTGGTGCTCAAACCGAAGCAGGTGGTTTTCTTAGGGGGATACACCCAGAGCCTTCAACCTAAAGCTCTGATCTACAAGACAGCAGAGCAACGTCAGGAGATACAGTCCCATAGTAACCGGTGACCAACAATAGGTTCATACTCCATTTGTTCTTTCAGGATCCTAAAGCCCATGTTCACTATTGGTTTGTAATCAGGGTTTCGCAACTCCCCTAGGTGGATTTTCTGTGTTGACCAACCCAGTTAAAGCGCCGGACATTCGCTTTTCATCCTCTCAATTTCGTAAACAACACCCCCGCCACGAGAAGGCAGTGAATAGGACTTGTGTGGCAGTGGTTGTATGCATGTGGCCATGTGAGAGCATTTTGAGAAGAACAGCTGACTCTCCCCACCCTTGACCGTATTATGGCATTTGATGTAGCACAAACGTGTATCAAGCAACGTCTAATAACAATTTATAGAAAAACGAGAGAGAGAGAGAGAGAGAGAAAGGAAAAGTAAGGGAATCGTGATTATAGCTATGTAGTAAAAACTAGAAAGTTTCCATAAACTGGATATTTAAAACTTCTATATAGGATAAATATGTGGTAATCAATAATAGATACATAAATACCTCTTGTAATTCAGAATCCATTGAATAATTTTCATTACTAAGTGATAATATTGTCAAATATTTACGCATATCATCTAATTCACTTTCAGAAATATTGCTATGAACATCATTTTCTATATTGTCAAAAGATTCCGGTTCCCATGGTAATGATAAAGTAGACTATGGAAATAAAATACAGATACGTAGATAAGAAATCAAATGTAATAAAGATGAAGAAAAGTAAATTTAATACAGCTATATGTTATAACTTGTGTTTTTGTGCCCTATTAATATAGGGCGTAATGATACCGCCGATTAGAGAACAGTGAATTATCAATTATCAACCGGACCAATGACGCATAAAACAAGTACGAGCAGTCTAGAGTCTTTATTGGTCCTGCTTCCCGTCTAGCCATGCCTGTTAAGTCCAGAACATCAAATCTCAACCTCTGCGATATGAATCATTTATTTCAAACATACTCCGTTTATACACAAATCGAACAGACCACATCGTACCATAAAATAGGAGACAACATTTGTACAAGATTTAGCCAAAAGTGATTGTGAATAAGGAAGATAGTAATTGATAGACTGGGGATAACTCAATAACGGTAAATCGCATAATAATAGTCCATAGGTTAAAATAAAAGCAATAATAAGAGCAACAGGAATATGATTAGTTGAGTTGCCTAACCATTATACGATAAAAAATATACGTATAGTATTGGTCTATAAATGAATCCCAAAAGTTACCATTCATTATTCTCATCGGGATATAACATTATAGTATTAGGAGAAGTTAAGTGGCATCCCTGATTACATAGAAGTTACGCAGAGCTCGAACATGAGACATAATGATTCAATTATGGAGTGCTGTAACCATTAAAACTAGTTTACTACAACACGAAATAGTAATTAGAGACAGATTACTACAAACGATATGTCCTAAATGTGTAACCCAAATGGATACTAAATAGTTAAGTTGTACATCATTTGTAAACCTAGGAATGAGATTTCGAAATAATTCACCAGCTTACATCAGTTTGTGATGAGAATTACCACCGATTTCCACAAAATCCTCACAGACATGAAATAGAGACTTAACGGTTGAAGCACACTTTTTGTAACTAATAGACTACTAATACAAATTCTGTTTCGTATATTTTGATTCGACTATCTTGGTAAAATTACTATTTCTTGCACAATATTATACTTCACAGATGATGTACACTATATTATATTTAGATAATAACCATAAGTCAATTATTAAGGATCTTTTAGAAGAGTTCTTCTCAGTAAGTTTCAGTAAGAATACATGATTGAAGGAGTTCAAGTATCATTGCCAATTGCCAGGCAACAAAAGGTAGATCATATGTTAATGATAAAATGTAATCGTTATTCATTTATAAATAAGAGTAAGCGTATATCAGTTGATGAATTCAAGGAATTTTTCCCATATCAATATAAGCTATTTAAAGACATATATTTTTAGCTGATGAAAAAGTAACTTTCAAATTTCCTCAATCTTTTGAGTTTGATTTTTCAAATAAAGTTGATATGATAATGAAACCAGTTATCAATTCTATTTTTGATCCCGTAAACGGAATTACATCCAACATATATAAAGTGAAAAATCCAAATACAGAAAACGCCATTGGGAAGCAGCTAAGTATCTGATCTAAGTTACCTTTTGCATGTCTGTGTCTTGTTTAGTGCAGAAAACACATAAATGTATACATGCACCAGTTATCTACATCATTATTTAAGCCTTGAAAATAATGCTTCTCAAGCAGTTTTGGTTTGCTTTTTCTCAGTGTCTAACATAGTAGCTGAGTCAATTGTTTAGAAAGTGTTCAATATTCACTCAATCAGAACGTTGAACAAGAATTTCAACTTAGGTATCGTGCTTCCCGGAAGATATCAATGTCCTACGTTTGATCTTATATGTATAGACTATTGAGGTTCTTCAACTGATATCATTTCGCGAAGACATTTATCTTTAAACAAATAGAGACACTTAAAAGTTGATCACATATAAACAAGATATTCAACTGTTTACAATACTTAGGGCGTTTATGTACTTCGTAACTAGGAGCGATTAATGAAATGATGTAAACTTACTTTAATTAACGATGGTACAATAGACAGAATTAGTACTCGTACATTTGTATCCCAATCTTGTGTGTAAAATTGAAAATCATATAATAAACGTTGATTAATAGCTACAGAACTTAAAGCTTGAAGATTTAATAAGCCTTTTTGTTGTAATTGACCGGAATCCATTTCTAATTCATTGATAAGTATCTAAGGAAAGTGAGGAGGGTGTTGAGGAAAATAAAACTAATAAAGTTCAAAAGACAAATTACTTATCAATTCAAGCCTAAACATTGAGTGCAAGTGCAACACACACAATCTCTCATCCTTCCAATGGTTTTAACACGCCTTCTAGTGTATTTTTGTTTCTATTATTATATGGTACTTATTATTCAGTAGTTAGTTATTTATATTCAAGTGACATTATGAATTTCGTTTTTCATTTATTCGTTATATCTGTACAATTAACCCCTGAATGCCCTGATGTGGATGAGAGTGGGGAGAGTCAGCTCTCTCTCTCATGGCCACATGCATACAACCACTGACACACAAGTCCTATTCACTGCCTTCTCGAAGCGAGTGTTATTTACGAAATTGAGAGGACGAAAAGCGAATGTCCAGTCCCGATCGAAGCTGCTACCTTGACGCGGTGGTCGGGCTTGCCTATCGTGATGACCCAACCGAGCTATATTGGCTGGAACATATGTTCCTGTAGGTTCTACCATGCCAGGCAGGTCGATTGGTGAACGGTAAGACTAAAAGCAGCAACTCAAGGTCTGAGGGCGAAGTCGTACTGCTGACTGTAGAGAGGTGTGACAGCAGTAAGGTGTTTCCCTCGGACAACCAGCATGACAGCGATGCTGCCTTCCCACAAGGAGGGGTGGGGTTAGAAAAGGTCGACCCTAAAAATGTCACACCTCACCTTACCTCACGGATTTCCGTCTCCGGCGGTAAGGCCCTTTGAAGAACGGAGCTAACACGTCAAAAACCTTCCACAAAAAGGCCGTGCGCGACCGGCCTCAAGCAGTTGTCCCTTGGGCTCTGCGGTCACGCTCCCAGGTCGTCAAGACCAACACTAATCCAATTTCCTTTTCAGGTTCCTCAAGAAATACCCTTCCACGGTGTGGGCAGCCGGGAAGTGACATCAGCCCTCATACCCGTAACAGCACAAGAGACCAAGGTGGTCACATTCAAATCCTTCCTACACCTCCTAATACCTCTCTTATCTCCATGACTAACCCTCCTCACGTCTCTTTATCACCTCGCACCGCTAGGGCAAACGATTCGAGTACGTGGAACGCCATTCCTGGTCTCCTGAAACCACGCTCTAAACTACACGTAGGAGCTTTTAACGTACGAACACTTTGCCAAATAGGACAGCAGGCTTCCTTAGCTAAAACTTTAGAATCTCGCGCCATCGATGTGTGCTGCGTCTCCGAAACGCGCATACAGGATCCAAGTAGCGTCATTCATTTGACCTCACCATGCCAAAATAAAGAACCGACTCGATTTACGCTTCGTGTATCTGGAAGCCCTGATTCTGCTTCCCGTGGCCTCGCCGGCGTAGGTATAGCATTGAGTCCTAGGGCAGAACTAGCTCTCTTAGAGTGGATCCCAGTAGACAGTCGTTTGTGCGCTGTCCGACTGAACGGAACAGTAAGAATCCGGAAAGATAGGGACACTCGTCGTTGCCTCTTCGTCGTCTCTGCCTATTCTCCCACTGACTGCAGCTCAGATGATGTAAAAGATGAGTTTTACAGAAAGCTTTCGGACCTTCTCCGAAAAGCTAGGCGCTCGGATGTAGTAATAGTGGCCGGTGACTTTAATGCTCAAGTAGGTAAACTAAGCGATAAGGAAAGACACCTAGGTGGATCTTATGGTGTCGTGGCTCAAAGAACAGATAATGGCGACCGTCTGTTGCAGCTATGCTCAGATAACCGCCTGTTCCTTGCAAATACTAACTTTAAGCATAAGGAAAAACATCTTTTAACATGGCGACCCCCTAATTCGTCCCAACGTTGGACCCAAATAGATCACATCGCTATCAGCCACCGATGGAGGGGCTCGATAGAAGACTGTCGCTCATTCTGGAGCACATGCCTAGATTCAGATCATGCTCTAGTGCGAGCGCGTATTTGCTTGCGTCTTACTGGACGTAGGAAAGACGCTGCAAGGAAACCTCTTAGGGCCTACTTAATGATAGTCAAGCTAAGAGTATATTTCAGGAACAACTAGGAAAACAGTTAGGCAGCCATGTATGTGATGCCCACCCCGATGCAGCATGGAATGATATCCGAAAAGCTGTGGAAACAGCAGTGATATCTGCTAGTAAGGTAAACCAGAAGGTTAGGGAGCAACACTGGATCTCAGCAGCATCTATCGCACTGATAGATGCTCGGAAACTCATTCCACCTGGCTCTGAACATAATGAAGAGCGGAGTCAGCTTAAGCGCAAGCTGACAAGAAGTCTACGCAATGATCGCGAACAGTGGTGGGTAGCGAAAGCAAGAGAGATGGAAAAGGCAGCGGCAATAGGTAATAGCAGACAATTGTTCAGACTCGTTAAGGAAACCGGAATTAGGAACCCGACCGTTAGCGAAACAATCTCAGAGAAAGATGGACATATTATTCATTCTCAATCCAGGAGATTGGATCGATGGGCAGAACACTTTAGGGATCAGTTCAACTGGCCTTCAGCCACACTTCGGTTTCCCACGATCTCCAGTCAACCTGAATGGCAAGTTAATGTAGGTCCTCCGTCCCTTTACGAAGTTGAAAAAGCCATAGGAAATCTGAAACGAGGGAGAGCAGCAGGCCCTGACAGGTTTACTCCTGAGATTTTTAAGGATGGTGGTCCAGTATTAGCAATGAGATTAACTGAGGTCTTAGGTAGAATTTGGGAACTGGACGTAATCCCATCTGACTGGTCTCAATCACTGATTGTGCCAGTCTATAAGAAAGGACAAAAGTCCTCTTGTGACAATCACAGAGGAATCAGTTTGACTAATATAGTGTCTAAAATATTAGCTTCAATAATACTTCGACGCCTAACAAAGCTCGTGAAGAGCAGACTAGAGAAAACCAGGCTGGTTTTCGACCTGGACGTGGTTGTATAGATCAGATATTCACACTACGTCAGGTTCTAGAACACAGACACACATTCAGACGCCCCACAATGGTAGTATTTCTCGACCTTAAGGCGGCATTCGACTCTGTTGATCGTGAGGTTCTATGGCAGTGTTTGTCACTGAAAGGAGTACCAAAGAAGTACATTAACCTTATAAAGGCTCTCTACTCGAACACAACTGGTAGAGTGAGAGCTTATGGCGAACTGTCATCAGAATTGATTACCTCAAGTGGTGTTCGTCAGGGCTGTCCACTCTCCCCATTCTTGTTCAACTTTGTGGTCGACGTACTTTTAGAGATAACACTCTCCTCATCTAAATTTCCAGGGGTTGAACTTCTACCGGGAGGTTCACTTGTTGACTTAGAATATGCTGATGACATAGTTTTATTTGGTGAAGACGCTGACAAAATGCAGAGTCTTCTGACCACTCTAAGCAACAATGCAAGCATGTTCGGGATGCGATTCTCTCCCTCGAAATGCAAAATGTTGCTTCAGGATTGGGTTACATCGACACCCGAACTAGTGATAGGGAGTGAAGTAGTTGAGTGTGTCGACCGCTTCACTTATCTTGGAAGTCTCATCAGCCCTTGTGGTTTAGTGTGTGACGAAATCTCAGCACGGATACAGAAGGCTCGACTAGCTTTTGCCAACTTGCGTCATTTATGGCGTAGGCGAGATATCCGTCTATCAACCAAAGGACGTGTTTACTGCGCAGCAGTTCGTTCCGTCCTACTTTATGGCAGTGAAACATGGCCGGTAAGAGTAGAGGATATCCGTAGGTTACTAGTATTTGATCATAGGTGTCTTCGAAACATTGCTCGTATATCATGGGACCATCGAGTAAGTAACACAGTTGTTAGGAAACGGGTACTAGGTAAGGATGGCAAATCAATTGATGAAGTAGTGAAACTTCATCAGTTGAGATGGCTGGGACACGTGTTACGTATGCCCAACGACCGACTGCCTCGACGTGCTATGTTCAGTGGTATAGGAGTAGGTTGGAAGAAAGCTAGGGGCGGCCAAACCAAAACATGGCACAAGTCCATGAAGTCACTGACAAGTGAACTGAGTCATGTTGGTAGGTGTAGACTACCTGGTTGGGGACCGCGAGATGATAGCAACCGATGGTTAGAGACCCTGAATGACATGGCTCAAAATCGTTTGCAATGGCGCAGGTGCATCCACTCTCTGTGTTCTCCCAAATTCTAATCTTCTGAATTCTTCATGTCCCTTTTTTCCTCTTTCCAAATTTATTTCACTGGATTATACTCTTTAAATAACATCTCCAAACCCTAATCTTCCCGATTACTGCTTATACTCTTATTACCTCTACCACTACGGGATTTGAATCGACAACTGCATCTCTGTGCTAATGTGGTGTGGCAACTCGAACTGATGTACGTACGTACGAAGTTCTACGTTGTTACTGACTGACTGACTGACTGAATGTCCAGCGCTTTAACCGGGTTGGTGGACACGAAAAATCTACCTAGGGGAGTTGGAAAACCATAGTTACAAACCAATAGTGCACATGGGCTTTAGGATCCTGAAAGAACAAATGGAGTATGAACTTATTGTTGGTCACCGGTTACTATGGGATTGTATCTCCTGACGTTGTTCCACTGTCTTGTAGATCAGACCTTTAGGTTGAAGGCTTTGTGTGTGTCCCCCTTAGAAAACCACCTGCTTCGGTTTGAGCACCAGCGGAGCAGTGTCGCAGCCCTCACACAAATCGAATGATTTATGTGGTGCCTCCTTGTATTAGTGTTTATGTGTTTAAATAAATAAATTAATAAAGGTAGTAATCTAATGAATAGTTAACAGTTATAATTTGATTAAATATCTTGGGTAATGGTCATAATGACTTTGTACGGAGCCCTTCTAGGGCTACTGCCGACCCCAAGCCCGAATAAAGGAGGAGGGTTGGGCATAGGGTTAGTAACCCCATATCTTTTTGGTGCCTCCTTGTATTACTGTTTATGTGTTTAAATAAATAAATAAAACCTATAAATCATTTTCACTCTTATTCTTCTCTAACCGATGGATATTCCATGCAAACTCTCCTTATTCTTCTATAGTCTCATCTATTTATCAAATTACTATCAATAAAAACATAGAGAAAAGAAATTTTCGCTGAATTCTCTTTATTCTTTATTCAGTCACATGTTGGGTTACTTCAATTATTTTAAAAATATGTTATTAATAAATGGTTATTCACATAAATAACAACTTACTTCAGTCCCTTGTGGTAACTGTAAACGTCCAGGATTTAAATGACCTTTATTCATATCACGAATAGGGAATAAACATGGTCCATCATTAAGTGATTTTATTGTAAGGATTACAGTAGCTAAATGTGTAACTAATTGTGGTAAGAAATTATGCAAACGATTGTATAGTTCAGATAATAAATACTTATCAATATTATTTGATGATGATTTTGTTGCAATTGAACGACTGGCATACACATTCATAGCTGGTAAATGATTAGGATATTGTGAATCTATAGTTAAGCTAAGAAAAATAAAGAGTATTTTGTAATAACAAAGAAAGAAAAAAAAATAAGGACAATATAAGCATAAACACAATAGAATGCTGGAGAATATTTGTTGTTCATGATGAGGAACTGAAAGATCTTATATCCTATCAGCTGGATGGATAGTCAAGTTGAGAAGTATACATTGTCTTCCCAGATATTATCGTCTAGATATACATCAAAGAATAAATCTTTTTGATGTCGTCTAAATAGACAATGAATCGTTAATGATTAAACAGTTTAAGTCAGAGAACATATTAGCTTTGAAAGAAACACAATAGAAAGCTACCATGGAAATAAAATCGATTAATCTTGTAAATTTCACTATCTATTCAGCTTACTTACTTACTCCTGTTACTCCTCGTGAAGGAGCATAGGTCGCTCACCAGCATTCTCATCAAACCCTGTCCTGGAAAAACCTTTCCAGCTCTTTCCAGTTGTTATTCATCTTTTTCATATCTGCTTCTATTTCCCAACGTATTGTGTTCTTTGGCCTTTCTCTTTTTCGCTTCAATTCGGGATTCCAAGTTAGTGCTTGCCTCGTGATGCAGTTTGATGATTTCCGTAATGTATGTTCTAGCAACTCCCATCGTCTTTTCCTAATTTCTTCTTCAGCTGGAAGCTGTTTTGTTCTCTCCCACAAAAGGCTGTTGCTGATGGTATCCGGTCAATGGATGTTGAGTATCTTGCGTAGACAGCTATTTATAAATACTTGTACCTTCTTGATGGTGGTTGTTGTAGTTCTCCAAGTTTCAGCTCCGTATAGTAGAACTGCCTTGACGTTCGTATTGAAGATCCTCACTTTGATATTGGTTGAAAGTTGTTTTGAGTTCTTCAATTGTAGGAATGCGGCCCCTGCTTTGCTAATCCTCGCCTTTATGTCTGCATCTGAACCTCCTTGTTCATCGATGATGCTTCCCATGTATGTGAAGGACTCTACATCTTCTAGAGTTTCGCCATCAAGAGTGATCGGACTGCCGTTCTCCGTTTTGAATTTGAGGACCTTGGTTTTCCCATCTATTGAGCTTACTAATATTTATTATCAAAGAACTGTCATGATGTCAGACTAAAATCTATTGTAATTCTGTCTATCGATTCTAAAGCTAAGACGGGAATGAAAGGAATTTTCATGGGTTTATGGTAACTTATAATACATACAAGTCCCAAACTAATGTAAGTGGAGCTTGTTGTTTAAACTTTGGTAAGTCGTGCACAATGTAGAACATAGTACATATATACATCAGTTCATGTTGCCATTTCACATGAATACAAATATCAGAACAGTAGAAGTAGTAATATTATTGAGAAAAAACAGTAGGGATAGAAAATATAATTCCACAACAAGGAGGGAGGTCACAGCATAAAAAAGGTTTACGATAAGTTTAAAACGCAGGATTTAAGGGGAATGTTAGTAAAGTTGATAGATAATCTTACGTAAATTGGTAACTGAACAACCAATTATGCAGTGAAACATTGCCGGTAAGAGTAAAGGATATTCGTAGGTTACTAGTATTCGACCATAGGTGTCTTCGAAGCATTGCTCGTATATCCTAGGACCACCGAGTAAGTAATACAATTGTTTGGAAACGAGTACTAGGTACAGATAGAAAATCAATTGATGAAGTAGTGAAACCTACTTGGTGACATGGCTCAGAATCGATCACAATGGCGTCGGTACATCCACTCCCTGTCTTCCCTTAAACTAAGAGATTAAAATCGCTTCATATCTTTCTTTCTACTAAATAATTCTTTCTTCCTGTACTGTATCCTTATATGCAATCTTTCTCCTATATATTACCACCTTTGACCTAACCACTCCTATGAATCCGATGTTCATCTTGCTGTGCTAATGAGGTATGGAAACCTGGACCGATGCATATATGTGCCTGGTCCTACGTTGTAGCTGACTGACTGACTGACTGAGTAGTGAAACCTCATCAGTTGAAATGGCTGGGATGCGTGTTACGTATACCCAACCACCGACTGCCCAACGTGCGATGTTTCATGGCGTAGGCGTAGGATGGAAGAAAGCTAGGGACCGCCAAACCAAAACATGGCACAAATCCATGAAGTCACTGACAAGTGGACTGAGTCATGTTGGTGGGTGTAGACTACCTGGTTGGGATCCGTGAGACGATAGCAACTGATAATTAGAGACGTTGAATGGCATGGATCAAAATCGTTTGCAATAGCACAGATGCATCCACTATTTGTGTACTCCCGAATTCTCCATGTCCCCTATTTTTTCTCTTCCGAATTTATTTCGCTGCATCATACTCCTTGAATAGCATCCTCAAACCCTAATCTTCCCGATTACTGTCTATACTCTTACTACCTCTACCACTATGGGATTTGAATTGACGAATGTATCTCCGTGCTAATGTGGTATGGCAACTTGAACTGATGTAAGTACGTACGAAGTTCTGCGTTGTCGATAACTGACTGAATTATGCAGCATAACCAATGGTTTAATTTAATAAGTCTAAATATTAAATACCAAAGCAAATAAAAATATTAATAAGGCGTTACGATTAAACAATCAACTTTTAACTACTTTGTTGCAAGTTCAAAGCTAGTCCACTTAATTCAGTTTTAGGAGTATATAAACCTGAACGCTGTAAATCAGATGGACAAAGGTCAGTAGTAACTCCTGGTCTTTTGATTTACCACAGCGCTATCCAAATTCACAATTAAAACTATGTTTCAATATTACATACTATGAAGATATTGTGGTATATTAAGAGCCCTACATTAAAAGCTAAGAAATAACAAGTATATCCATTTATTAAAACTGACTAGTGATTTACATAATTGCTAGGTTTGAAGCGGTTACGAGTTCACTTAGACTTCGAACGGAACAAAGACTTGTGACCAAAGACCAATAAACTAGCTATTCTATTGCGTCCCAGCCTCGCTAACTAGAGAGAGAAGTCGAAGTTCGAGCTGGGAAGTATATTCCACAAAAGCTAGAAGCATGAGCGCTAACAACAGACACAAATCAAAACGTACATATATACAGCACAAAACCGTCCTTGGGAAGCGTTACAAAATAGCAAACTAAAAGATACAACGGGCCAATACCATTTAAGATTCTCCCAAGTGGGAAATACTACATGAAGGTGAAAAGAGCGCTTGTGGCGCGAAAACAAAGAAATTCAAATTTTCTAAATAAAATTACAAAATTAGGTCCTTTTTCAAGTGAATTCTGAGGATCTAACGTCCTCAACAATAATTTGTTTTGGTAATCACACATATATTACATACACAAGGAAATAAAAACTCACCGGGTTGATATAAGATGTAAAAGTATATATTCAGCTACAATTTGATCACCATTAAATAATGTAGTAAGGATTTGCATTAATTTTATACGAATCAATTGAATATCATTAACATTCTTGCTAACTAAAATCAATTTATTAGAAAATAATTTAACATGAAATATATATACTACTTACTTGATATAATTGAAGTATTATTACAAACAAGAGGATTATTATGTGTTAATGAATGAACTATAAGAGCATGTATTCGAGGTAGAGGTTCATTACATTTCTCTTCTGGTTCACATGAATCTTCTGGTAATGCATCACAAAGGCGTGCATGTTCCAATATACCATAAACTTCAACAATATCATTGATTTTCAATTGAGTTTGTACTGTATCATATACCTGATGATTATCACAAACAAAAACAAACGATTTAGGTAAGTAAAAAAGATTTTAAGAAAGTTAATGTCGATTTTATAACAGAGTTCTATGGTGAGAGGTGAGAAGTGTTGGCCAATGAGATGGGTGTTTTATTATGATGGACTTTTGTTCTCTGAGATGGATGGTTTGGTTGATTAAAGCTCACGACTAAATCGTCTAGTTCAAAGAACAAAACATTAAAATCATCCACCTGAGCTACAAATTTTCACCATCTCAGAAGTTTTATTACTTTCGATCATAATTACGCTGTTAAAATATTATTGGATGGTGTTGGGGATGTTAAATCCCCAGAACTCACTTGGTAAATATCTTATTTTCTGTAATTCTATCTTAAAATTTTGAATTACTTGTTTTCGCACAAAAAGCACCGATCTTCAGCTTCATGTAGTAATTCCCAATAAAGAGGACCTTAAATGTTACTGGTTCGTTGTCAATATTTGTAACGCTTCCCAAGGACATTTTTATGCTGTATATATACGCTTGAGCTGTGTTTATTATTGTGTTTTCGTGCTCTGGCTGCTTGTGGAATACATTTCCTCTTCTGAACCTGGACTTCTCTCTCTAGTTAGCGGGGCTGGAACAAATCGGAATAGTTAGCTTGTTGGTCATTGTGTCGCTGAGTCTTCGTTCCGTTCGCAGATTAGGTGAACTCGTAATCTCTTCAAACATAACAGATGATTTATGCTATTCCTGGACAAATTAAATCACTAAACATTTTGTCTACTGTCATTTTATACTGGTTAAAAATAGTATAAGTGTTGTGATTTTGCTAAAGAATAATCCTACAGAGAAGGGATCTTTTTTTAATACTATGCTACAACAGTGAGGGGTGAAGTATTGAAGAAAGAGTTCATATTTGTTACATATTTATACAGTTTTCAGATTAATACATTCATTTATATTGTATTAGCATATTTTCGGCTTAATATGAATAGTTTAGATCATGACTCGATTGAAGCTAGACCACCATGGAAAACCTGGAAGCACTGGACGGCCGTTTCGTCCTATTGTGGGACTCTAGCACTCAGTCAGTCAGTAACAACGTAGAACTTAGTACGTACGCACATCAGTTCGAGTTGCCATACCATATTAGCACAGAGATGCAGCTGTCGATTCAAATCCCGTAGTGGTAGAGGTAGTAAGAGTATAAGCAGTAATCGGGGAAATTAGGGCTTGGAGATGTTATTTAAAGAGCACAATACAGTGAAATAAAATTGGAAAGAGGAAAAAGAGACACGGAGGAATCACTAGTGATTGGCTTCAAGAGGTATTTCCTGGAGTTCTAGTAAAAAGCCATGACCAGTAGAGTTCAACCGGGTCTGTTGTGAGATAGTAACTCACTGAAGGCATTGATGGATGTGTCGTTCAATTTCGTGGATTGGTTGAAGTTAGACATTAACACCGTTGGATGCCGGTCGACTCAGTGATCCAGCTGTTAAGCACTCGCGCGCAAGACTGACAGGTCCTGGGATCGAATCTCGCGAGGCGAGGTCGTGGATGAGCACTGCTGAGGAGTCCCACAATATGACGAAACGCGCGTCCCGGATTCCACTGCTAGGTACTATTCATCTGTGCATATCACCATTGTATTAATTTATTCAATTTAGAGATCACATTGTGATCAAGTGGCCATCCAGTGATTCCAGGTTTTCCATGGTGGTCTAGCTTCAATTGACTCATGTTCTCAACCATTGAAATTACTATAATATCCACAAAACACTTCTGATATTAATATGAATACTTTGACGTAAATACAGAAAATACTTTCAGTGGTAAAAAAAATGTACGCTTTTCTTACGTCACACTTCAATGTAAATATAACAATGATGTTATCATTAATTTATAAGAAAAAACATGAACTTAGTGTAGCCAGAATTCGAAGGCTTGTAATGTATAACCAATATAATGAAATATAAATTAGGCGCACTTTTATGTGCTGTAGGTTACCAGATACATCTACTATTTAGGGGCGAAGTCGTACTGTTGACAGCAACAAAGAACTGTCCTCAGACAACAAGCATTTCCATTAAGCTGAGACGATTAAAAAAAAGCTAACCCTAGAAACGACACAACCCATTTTCTTTAAATGGTTCCCGTAACCAGCGATAACACTTTTAAAGTTAAGAGATAACAGATCAAGAACTACTCACAAAAATTCGATGTAGGGTCGGCTCTAAGCAATTGTCCTTCGACCTCTGCGGTAACAATCTTAGGTCACCAAGACCACTACTAATCCAGTTTACTTTATAGGCACTTTAGGAAGTATCTCTTTGAGGTGTAGGTGACCGAGGAGTGACAACTGTCAACGCAAGCCAACAACACTAGATATCATCTTGTTCAAATTCGAACGAGAGAATAGTCAACCAGTCAAATTATAACCTACGATTTACCTAATATGCTAACAAGAATGGGTTGACTTTTAATGTTTATACTTTTAGAAAAAAATTGGTAGATTAAACTTTTTAACTTGTGACCATCAGTAATGAGGCCACAAAACTCAATCCAATTGTTTAAAGAAAAAGTGTACTACAACTTTGAGACGAATCAGCTGATAAAGAAGAACATGAAACACTTATAAATTCTCAACATGAAAACATCCTGAATGAAAGCTTACTCGTAATAAAGCCCCAATTTTTTGATCATTATTTTCTTCTTCGATTAAAGGAAAATGTTTACGAGGTTTCACTTGATTCGGATTAGTTTCCATCGCTTAAAAAAAGAATAAACGTAAAAACCACAGAACTGATTGATAGTTACCAACCTGTGGATTTTGGCTTCTTATGTATTACTTCTGTAGGTTCATTTAAATGACGTTTCTGACCTGATGTTGTAATTGGCGAAGTATACTCACTTTCCTTTACTCTAACGTGATAATACAGTCAAGAAAAATGGCAGAAAAATATCTGGAAGAAACTAATTATTATTTAAATTGGAACCAACTATCATTTAGATTAGTTATGCTTTTTCCTAATGACATTCATGTCCTACTTACTTACATGATGCGACTCACTGAGTACGGATTCCCATACTCAGATTTGAGCCACATTTTATGTGCGAGGGCCCCCAAATGCCCTGGTATGGCCGAGAGTGGGGTGGGCCCTCCCTCCCTCTCGAAACGCTCTCACACGGCCACGCATATACAGCCTCTGCCAAGGAAGTCCTACTCACTGCCTTCTCGTGGCATTACTGTTGTTTACGAAAATGAAAGGACGAAAAGCGAATTTCCGGCGCTTTAACCGGATCCCAAACCAAACCAATGGTGCACATGAGCTCCAGTATCCTGCGGGGTTAAATGGCGTATGAACCAATTGTTGGTCACCGGCTTCCATCGGACTGCATCTCCTTACGATGCTCCAATGCCTTGTGGATCAGACCTACAGATCGAAGGCTCGGGGAGTGGCCCCCTAAGAAAGCCACCTGCTTTGGTTTGGACACCCGGGCAGTATCACAGCCCTCACACAAATCGAATGATTTATATGGTGCATATATATTTGGTGCCTTCTTGTACCAATGTTTATGTGATTAAATAAATAAATTATGTGCGAGGCTTGGTGATATTATCCGGTTGCCTAAACTAAAGTAGGTGTAGATAAATTATGCGTAAATTACGAAGTTTGTTTTGCTTCAACAGGCAATATAATTGGTCATTTTCATTGAAAGAGACCAAACACTAAGCAAATGATAAAAGACAAAATATGGTAAGCGAAGCATTGCCAATGTATCTCAGATCCACTGAACGGAGCAGTAGTGAGCTCAAATGTAAGGTTCTGGGCAAAATTGCTAAATCGGCTAGTAAAAACCTGAGTATCTACTGACTGTGATCGGGACATGCATTGTATTTGCTCAACAATCACCTATCTCAACAAACAATGTTAGTTGGATTAGTAATATGTTGACAGGAAGCAAGAGGTGATGAAACCAAAACGTAGCATCATTTGGTTCATGAAGTCAGTGATTCTTGATATGACCTATGTTAGTAGATATAGACTGCGTAGTTGCTATCTGTGCGATTATCATTACAAATTGTTGGGGACAGTGAGCGATATGGCTCATATGCATTTGCTTCTCATCACTCTTTAGACCCCAACTTTTAAATTATTTTATATACTTTACGACGCAAATTCATCCTTTCTGTAAGATTCACATTTTCTATGTTTAATCTTTAGTTATACTATTATTATCGATACTACTACTTCGGGTTTCATCTTGCTGTGCTGATGTACTGTTGCAGGTCTTAAGTTGCCTATATCTGATTGGTGAATGCAATTTCGTGGGATTACAGACGAAAGTTAATGATTTCAGTAAGAAAATATAAAACAATCACTAAAATAAGATATATTCTTCTTACTCAAAATCTGAAATGGGGATTCATATATCTAAACTAGAAAAAACGTTATAAATATAAAGACAAAAAGGATATTTCCTTGACCCAGGGAGACTCTCCTGGTACTGGTACTATGTAGAAGGACTGGCGTTCAGAAAACTTGACATCAATTGGACTTACATCCGCACTGTTCTGTGAAATAAAACGATTAAGGTTGCTTTTTCAAGAAATAGCACGAACATTATATGAATGTTTAACTACCGAAGCAAGCATTGACTGTTGAAGTTGTATTATAAAGAAAAGTGATTAGATGATCAGTGTACTGAAGTATATAGTAAAACTACCTGAGTTCAAATTTATATATTTGATCTTGATTAGCCCATGCTTATTGTAATTAAGTTACTGAGCAAGTACTTATCGAAACTAACTTTATACCGTACTCAGGACGGACAATAAAAGACATATTGCTTGGTAAAAATTACCACATTTAGACACAACTGCAAAGCTCTAACCAAAATAAATTTCCCGAAGGAAAATTCATTGATCACATACAAATTAACACACGTGATAAATGACTATTTCGTTAAAGTATGGACGGTTGTGTCCAGCAAAAATAACGGAGACTTGAATACTTAGAGAACGTCGCTGTTTCTTAACTTATGTTACATAAGAACATGAATATTCGTGATTATAATTCATCCCTTCCTGAAATAACCGTGTTTTAGGAACATGTAAACTTAAACCACTTTATTTGACCTCTAACAAAGAGTTACTGAACTATCAAGAAGTTTGTAATCAAGGATGAACGCTAGGATATATACTCATTGGTGTCCAAAAACACGCGACTGCAAGTTACAATTGATTTATATAAAGTATGGGTTATTAAAGTATTGTCCAGAGACACATTTATCATATACGGGTAATCTATTATCCGCCTTAATTCTTAGCTTTTTTATCGTCATTATTAAAAATATCTATTTGACTCATTTGCTGCTCTTCGTGTTAACTGTGCTAAGGTAGTGGGGGTATCGATCCGAATATCTGCCACGTTCTATGGTGACAATGACTGTTTGATTCACGGATGATATCACAAGATTAAGCCTCAAACACAGTGAAATCAGAAATAATCGTCTTGAAGACATGAATTAACGAACAAAACGGAGCAACTACGTCCAATAATGCAGATAAAAGGGATCCGAGAGTTACCGTGATCCATGACTTGATAACCACATATACAGACAGAGGAATAATCACTAGACGTTTCTCAATCTTTTAGATACATTGTAGAAACCTTCAAATAAAATTGGGGACGTTTAAAGAACGACTAGATATTAAGTGTATCCAAATAGAAATGAAGATAAGTGTTTGGTCTTCGTTATAAGGGCAACGGACCACTTGACTTTATTTAAGATCGCATCGAATACCCAATATCTTGGATACATGATTAATTTTGGTTTTAACATGTCCTATCCGTTTTTTCACATGAAACTGACCACTTGAGATACTATTCCTAGAAAATTCGGTAATGAGTACCAAGTGTACGACATATAAAGGACCTTGTGGAGCTTTCGGAACTCCATTACAATATGTAGTATCCGTACCTTTGGTCATCACCCTAATAGAAATTTTAAAACCCTAAGTACAATGCAAAGCAAGAAAAAACATGTCCCATTTTACTGTGGAAGGCGAAAAACAGAAAAAATAGTAAGTACATGAAAAGAGTCTCCAACCAGTAAACAACTAAGTGAATTGTCAATTGGGCTAAAGAGAGGCAGTACAAGGTTAGTAAAGAGCTGTTACATGATAAACGGGACAAAATGACAATCAAGTAAATGATACAGGATCAAATAAGAGCGGTTTTGCTTATGTTGAGCTTTCATACAGCTGAATACCATATTTGAAATATAGTTCCAAGAAAATTCCCAGTGGTCAATAGGAAACAGTTGCAAATGAAATAACTACAGGCTGTGCATTGCAAAGGTCAAAATGCTAGATGAAAAACAAGCTATTTTAAACATCAATTTGACATGTGGTCTAAGATTTGAAACCTACTTCAAAAGAGCTGAAATCCCGATACCTAAGAGACCTGGTAGTGCTGTCATTTGCCGACAGGCGAAATGAGTCCATAAACAACTCTGCATTGAACATATCCTGAACCATTCCAACAACGCGCACCAAATGTCCATCAGGAATTTGTTCTAAGGACACGTTCCCAAATAATGGAACCTGATGTAATAAAGTCAGATGTATATTCAACAAACCTTAGAAGAATGATTCTGCAGGACATTTTGTATCTCAACCAGGAAATCGATTTTGTTATGTTCTTCAGAGCCACCTTTTTGAAAATAGATGATCCAATTACCAAATTAGTTACGTACCATGAACCTGATCAAAAACTACAAGTGGGCTCGTCACGTAGTCCTTATATTCCATAATTCACATACACAGCAGGAAATTAGCTTGATGTATTCTCCGCTTGTGAAGAACCGATTTCAGTTCCGGAATATGTCAGTACTGCAGTGTTATTTAAATCGTGAATCAGTCTGATAGTTGTGGTTTACACAGTTGACATGAAAAACTAGGGAGACAAAAAACGTGGTCTTGGGGATTTCAAAAATATATTATAAGTTAACAGTATGAAAGATGACCGAGAAGGATAAATACATACACCGGACATTACAAATATATCACGCGCCGAAAAACAACTCACTGCCTCGCGTCCTTTCGAAGGTCGATTATTATCAGTGTTCTCTCCAGAAAAGTGAAGTAAAATCAACCGAAACAAATTTTTATAGCCAGTACACACGAAATTCAGATTTTGCTCGTCACTTTAGTCCGAACTTCTGAATACAGAAGCATAAGCTGATTATTTCTGTTATTTGCGTATTAAATAACCGGACGGCCAAGTGACAATGATAACATTGCATGTCTAAAAATACTGACTCGAAAGAATTTTCTATAATTCGCCTTTTTGTCAATGCAACACAGATAATATTTTGTTAGTTGATCGTTGTTGATTTATATAGTATAGCAGTAAGATTTCACGAATATCCAAAATTTAACGAGGCTGTTGTTTCTAAAACCTTCATGATCGAAGACCTCAAAGACAGTCGAAACAGAGTTCAGGAATAAAGGAGTTCGAAGTTATATTTGGATCTATCGATATGTTGATAAGTTATTCGAGCTGGCTAGTTGTAGAGCGACGTGCCGGATGAGGATGTGTGACCGAGAGCATTCAGCTTCGGTGTGTTAAGTGAAACTAATGATGTCATTATCACCACAGTCGGCAAGATGTACGTTTTACTTTACGTGAGTTTATAGAATTATTATCTAGTTTGGTATTAATACCACTTTAATAATAGACCTCATCACGACATTGTAGA